TATAAATATACATATTATAAACCGAGGAAAGTTTCTTGCCAGAAGATTCTTTGAAAGAATTCTCTACAAGGCAATCTCCCTGCTTCGCTTATTCTAGAAATGATGTACATCTTTTGTACAATCTATTTACACATGTCATACCGGACAAGATGGAATTTTTGGATCTACAAGGGCTCATCGCTCTCAAACCTCCTTAAGATATGGTATACTCGAACTGGATAACGATCATATGTGCACAATGATACAATTTTCCGACAGTTTCAGTGCTCTTCGAGTGGCAAAAAACAATCAACACAGTAAAGAAGAAAGTAAGTTTAAAAGTTTTAGTAAATATTTTCTCTTTTGGTCGGTATGCCTATGCTCATAAGAATCTCTGTATTCTGGCTTATGCATGTGAACAACTAGAAGGAACGAGATACTGTTTCTGTTTCTCAGTGAAAGTGAGATAGAAAAGATAGGATCAAGTTCAAGTCTTTTTCTTTCAGAAAAATAATAAAAGTCTAAAAGACTTTATCACAATTTTCGCACCAGCAAACAAAAACAGCTAAGAAATAAAAGGCGAAGAAGACCAACAAAGTGAACAAACAAACAAAAAAAAACAAGCAAAAAAAGTTAAATGTTATTAATATCGAATTGTGTATAATCCGGATGATCAGGTAGTTGTTGTTGTTGATTAATTGTAGATGTTGGAGGTGGAGGTGGAGCAGGAGCAGCCGGCGAGAACGGAACAACATTAATATTCAGGGGACTGAAAAAGAAAACAAACAAATCATTAGATATATTGAATCGATATTTACTTTACCTGGCACTGGTGATGGTAACAACACCACTACCACCACCAAGCAAGGAGCCAACCACGAAGACGATTTGATATTGTTGATGTTGTTGTTGTTGTTGTTGTCGTCTTTGTCGACGTTGTTGTTGTTGTAATTGTCGTCGTTCTTGTCGAAGACGACGTTGACGAATTTGATTTCGATAGGTGCACTAAAAAAACAAAATAAACAGAGTGCAAGAGGAAGCCAATAACCAATGATCCAATCTGATCAAGATCATTCTTATTTCTTGCTCGCTATTACGAGTGGGATTGAGAGAAAGCGACTTTAGTTTGGAACAGGAAATGATAGATACTTATTAAAATTTATCCATAGTGAAAACAGTTGCAGACAGTATGCAAAATTATAGTTCGAACACAAGCCAATAATTACAAGAAAATAGAAAGACATGGTGTCGTTCAATAGTGGATTAAATTCAGAGTGAATTTAAGATCAAATAATTTCGACAAATATTCTATGAAGTTCCTCAGAACATAGAAAGGTTTCCAATACACAAGGTAATTAGAAATGTTTTTCTTTTAAACACATATTATCTTATGATAACTGATTATGCTATATGAAAACCAACTAGATGAACTTCAATTGTCTTCTATTCAATGAAAAGAATTGAAATCAGAGTTTCATAGTGTTTATTAGAGACACGACCAAAACAGCAAAAGAAACAAAAAAGAAACAAGAAAAAACACAAAACAAAAGAAAAAGAAGAAACACCACCAGATTTTGTCAATTAGACATTGACAAGAGTCTGGTTAATCCAGTTGCTGTTGGCCCACTATGTGGGTATCAACAACAACTGGGACCAAACCAACACCACCACCACCACCACTACCACTACCACCACGAGCCTGAAGACCACCACCACCAGCAGGCTCGATCACAACCACCGGACCTGAGGCCGTAATTTGTGCCTCAAATGGACTAGAAAAAAAAAACGATTGTTTATTTCTTCGAATTTTTGTTGAAACTTACGCATCCGAAGTAATACAATATGTTAATGAACCACGAGCCAAAGGAACCATAAACATCTTTTGATGTATTTGTTGATGTTGTTGTACTTGTTGTCGTTGTTGTTTTAGTTGTTGGAATTGTTGTAGTTGTTGTTGTTGTAGTTGTAGTAGTTGTCGTTGTAGTTGTTGTCGTTTTCGTAGTCGTTGTTCCAGTTGTTGTTGTACTTGTTGTTGTTGTTGTTGTTGTTGTTGTTGTTGTCGGCGAAGACGACCTATGGCGAAAATCATAGGAAGATTCTAATCATAAGAAGAAAATGACTTACGAGTTTTGTTAAAGGTGTACATGACGACGACGAGGTAGCACGAAAGACGACAGATGAATAAATGATGAGATGATCGAAAAACATCTCTATATATAGGGCTAGAAAAAGAGAGAGAGAAAAAAAGAGAAGGAAGAAAGAAAAAAAAAATAGATTTATCGAATTTCGCCGGACGGAAAACCGTTGGTGACCGAATGAGAAAATATCCAGAGAAAAACCGTTAAACAGAGTTCAAAAAAACATTCACGACCTAGACGGTGACCGAAAAGGGCAAAACAACCTCGAGCAGGTGAATCGATAGTGATCGAACGAAAATCAGGAAAAAATAGCGCCGTTGAGACAACCAATCCGGATAAAAGCACAATAGATGACACTGTTGTACTGACGCTATGCAAAACCGATAAGAAAGTTTTGTACATTTGATCTTTTGAAACGATAAATTGATTAGATGATTTCATTCTTCAAAGAAAAAACAAAAATATTAATGGCGAAATACAAAAGTTTTTGAGAAACAATGAGTCTGCATGAAAATATTGTTCGGATTCTGCGAATATCAAGTGAATATTTTGAATGTTTTTCGCAATTCTTTCGTCATATATTTAATTCCAGTAAGTCTCGATAAAATCCACCCCATCATCATAATTGTATGCTACATGTATGGATACTAGAGTGTTGAGCGCTGTGCAACATCACGACACAAAAGAAAAGAGTGGAACATTTTCTGTAGGGACGGAACCGTAGCAAGTAGTTCAAAAGTCGAGAATTTTTCAAACTTCCCTGCAAATTTTCACTTGTATCTTGTAGACATACTGCTCAAGTTCACAAATAGGTGTACAGCGACTTGGATTGTGACTTCGGATTCGTTTCCGTTCAGAAGAAATTCTGTGAATTAGAATAAGACAAAAACAACCTCTCATGCACATATATGGCACCTCATAAACACCCGATTGTGAGTTGTTATAAACAAAGCATCATCAGAAAAACGTACAATATTCATTTTGTTCCGCAGTTTCTGCGTATACCCACACTTTTCTTTACGGATATACTTCTTGTGTAACCTTTTCTCTCTGAAAACAGCGATGAAGTAGTAAAAAACACGAAATCTTCATCACCTTCCTCGAGACATGCAAGATTCGTTACGAGTGAACTCTGATATAGATGTTTTGACTGTATCTAGTACAATCGATGATTTTATTCTAGAGTGTTTTGTACTTGCGCGTGAAAAACACTTTGCATACTAGAATGTACCTCTAAATGTACACACTCTGTTTTTGTACTCATGGAAAACTTCGTATCATTTTCTAGCGCACTATACAATCACAAATTTGATTTCAAAATTCATTTTTAATAGGTGAATGTCCAAAGATACAATCGAATTCTTTGACTTCTTTGTTGCCTAGTGTCGATTCGTTTCTTTTTTCGACATAATCAAGATCAATATATTTGTACAGTGACAACATTGCATCTATCTTGTACTTTTATCCACAGTTGAATAGAATATGCTTTGACTATGTTTCAAATTTTATTTTCTAGACTAGAAAAAAAAAACAATGTATACATATATTACAGGATGACAAGAAGCGAGACAAACAAAACCACCAAGAAAAGGGACCACCAAAACATTAAATCGACCGTAATGGCCACCTTGAGATCGATTGTCATTGGCCTATAATTGAGATACGTGAAAACATGCGTATATTGAATATTTGATATACTTACTCATTGCTTTCATTAGGAGGAGGAGGAGGATTGTTGTGGGAACGGGTGGCGATGGGATTTTGGGATTGGGTGAGTAGCTGTTGTTGATGTTGTAATTGTTGTTGTAATTGTCGAAGTTGTCGTTTTTGTACCAACAACTGTCGACGATAATAGTGATGACGATGACCTTTAACGGAATTCTAAGAAATGTTTTCAAATACACTACAACTTACGGCATATGGTAATGGAATCCATTGAAGACAAAGAGAAAGACGCGACGAATGTTTCTGAAATGTGAAAAAGAAAATAATGTAACCTATTCGCGAAGAAACAAGGGTATTTATATAGAAACAGTGATTTGATCGTTATCAAAAGAAAAAGTTCAAATTCAAAATAAGGCCAAACTCTTATAAATAAGAAAAATGTTCTATGTTCATTATCGCGAGGCAGGAAAGAAAGAAAGAAAAAGGGCGGGTATTTTGAAACTAACCAATGAACAGAAATGCTTGACAGATGTCGTTCGCGTACCTACATATACTTATACAGTTTTGCTCTCACCATTGAATGTACTTATTTTGAATGTTTTATTTTTCTTTTTATCGAACAGATAGATATATTTGAATTGTAGAATGATTGTTTTTTCCGTAATGTTTCGTACTAAAATTTTGTTGATTGGCATTGTCTTTTTCTCAAAAAAATCGTTCCATATATCATCAGAATGCAATAAACGATACGACCAACTATTGTTCGTTTTTCTTATGTTGAAAATATAAAGAGATTGGCAAAAATACATATTGCTTGTCTGACATGGAATTTGTATGAAGAAGATCGTGCCATAACGTAGGAACAGAGTATCGAGTTCGACTGATAATTATATGACAGTACACGTATTTTATTTTACAAACAAATGTCAGTCGAGTTGGTAGGTAAAAATGAAAATCATTGTCGAATTAAAATGAAAATGCTCTGCACATTTTTATAAGCAACAATTCAACTAGATTTAGCTCGTGTTTTCACCATTTTTCATATATTGTTTCTTAAATGAAACCATTCTGTTATAATTCAAGAAACAGTACAAAGAATTTTTGAATTTTAAATGCACATACAAAATAGTTTGAGCTTTAAAAACAAGTCAAATTTTGTCTCAGAATTGATTAAATCGGAAGAATTGTATGGACGACAGCGAATATATTAGAGATCCGGGCAAAAATCAACCGCATCGTATTCTCTGTACTCAGACTTCGTCACATTGACAAATGAGATGCTTTTCGGTCTATGTCTCATTTGGATATAGATCAACTCTTTTAATATTCGACTTTGCCCCATCCTTTGTAAGAATGCCGATCTCACATTGAATAGACCCATGCGAGCTTCGACTTGTTTGCCAGTCATAATCGAATTCGATCTATTTGATATCCAAAAGTTAGAAACAACGACTTCTAAACGAACATCCTGTGTCGAACTGAATGAATGTCATTACTTGTTATACTGATATTGCTAATAGAATAGAATTGTTTCTTTTTTGTCATCGCGAAGGTTAAAAAAATAACACAAGAACTATCTTTTATGATACTACTGCAATAGAAGAGTATGTCATGCTTAAAATCTATCGACAATTTCGAATAACTAGCATCTAATCTGCAACTATTTGAATCGATCATAATGCATCAACAATGACAACAACTTCAAAGTTTTGTCTGATGTACACTCAAATATCAATCCAAAAACAAAAGCAAATTGACAAATATAGCGGGTTTTTGAGTAAGTCGCTGGTAGGAATTATCGTCGTGAAATATAATAGGACTGCCTGATTGTTTACGAACAGATATAAATATAAAAAAATTTCATATACGCAGAGACTCATGTGAAAATTTTGTGGTCTGGAATAGAAATGAAATTTCCAGGGTCCATCACATATATGATACGAGACGAAATTAAAAGAGACCCAACACAATAACATGTGCGACCGGACGACGAAACAGACGAAATGGAAAACCGTTTGTAACAGAATGTAGTAAATTTAACCTGGATAAGTGAAAAGGTCAGCAGACAGAAAACCGTTATTAACAGAACGACAAAAGAAAAATGAAAAGAAAGATATAGGATGAATCTGATTTTCTTTACGTACATTCACACAAATTCTCACATCTGATCACATCTGCCCTAGTAAGTACACATGTCTACAATTTCACATAACTGAATCGAGACTTTGTCGGAGCCGATCATTTTCGCGAGGTAGTCAGTCCTGTCATGTATATAACCCTCGGAGCTAGAAGTTGGTTTTTCTTTACAACTAGTTTCTGTTTGCTTCTAATTTTCCTTAATTCAAATTGTGATTTTTTTGTTCTTTTTTAGTTATGTCAAATTCTAAATTTCCTTCTACTGATTCATCATCATTACATAGTATTCAATCTCAATATCAACTATCTCCTGATTTAATCATCAAAATTGATGATATTATCAATAATCACAATTATCAATTGTTTTTTGATCGCCATTTGTCTTACGATCAACTTATGTTTATTCTTAATCATCCAAATTGTATGGAGAGGGAAGTTCTTGATTTCATCATCAATCAACTAGAACATTTAATATCCGATGAAAATATTCGACAAGTCTATTTAAATAATCTTTATATATTTGCTGGTTGCTTTAAACTTGTCGATCGTTATACATATATTCGTGGTAATAGAATCTACTTGGATGATGATGACGATGATGATAATGATAATCAAACACTTCCTGACGATGATACAAGTGATTCTGCTTCATTACTTACTGATCGAATGGAGGATATTGAAAATGTTGTGATGGATGATAGTGATTTAGAAAATTTTCTCGAGGCGTTTCATGATTGTACATCAAGTGAGAGCGAAGAGGATAATTAGAATCGTGAAGTTGTTTTTTCTTTTCTTTTTTTGTGTTTTCTCATGTAAATAAATAGTTATAGTAAACTTGAACTACAAGACACTGCTCGAATGATTCAACCAATTTTGGAATGTGTTTCAATGAAAATCGTCTAATTATTCATGCATTCATATCAATGTAATACCTATCAGGATAGGATTCTTTCAATTAGATTAATGAGTGATTTTATTTGATGCATTGCTACCAATTAATAACCTCTGAAATTCTTCCGATCCAAATCGAAATCAACTATAAAAGAACTATTCGATTTACTCGACAGTTCAAGATAATTCAATTTTTACCATTTTTTTTAGAGTTAGAATTGGAAAACAAATTAAATAATATATCCTACACAACGGACTTTTTGATTTTATTGCTTCTGTATTCATTTACATGTCAAGTCATTAGAATACTACTATATCTTTCTTCTGTAACGCAATTATGAAATTAGGATTAAATGATTATTTTGAGAAATAATTGTTTTAACTTAGTAAAAGGAATATGAAGTTTTTGAGTGAATTTCATATTTATTCGAATTATTCTCATTGACATCTAAGATCGGAATTTTTTCAAGTGCCGATAGATGTTCGGTAGCGATTTTTGTAATCAGAATATCGAATTTCATATTTCCATCTTTTTTACTATCGTGTTTTTATAGAGTGCGATGATTCAGTGACGAGTAGGTATAGACATTTCTGAAAATCCTTTTTTATAAACTTTGATACTTTATGCCTGATACGTATTTTTTATATCTAAGCAGCATACTAGAACTATAGAGATGCAAATAGGTTCAGTCATGTGAATTTAAAACTCTTATTCACTATTGTCTTCTTCTTTGTCATTTATGGCAATTCGATTCCAATACTTGGCAGCACAAATATGCAGAGAGATGAGACATGTTATTCTTGCAAACCACACAACTTGGTAACTGGAATAAAGAAATAAATTACTAAATTATATATGATTATGTTAACGATATGACAGCCTCTTTCTTTAATATCAATGTTTTGTTATCAGAAAACTTTGTATACATACGAATTATAAGGTGAGTTCTAAACTTCTATGGAGTTAATTCTCTCTTTTCATCCAATATTAGATAATAAAATAAAGTAAGTGTTCAAGTTTTTTCTTTTTCAAATCAGAAAAAGTCTAAAAGACTTTACGAGAAGACAAACAACAAAAGAAGCAAACGAAAAAAAAACAAAACAAAAAAAAAAAGTTAAATATTGTCAATATTAAATTGACTGTAATCAGGATGATCAGATGGTTGTTGTTGTACTGGAGCAGCTGGTGGTGGTGGAGGAGGAGGAGCAGCAACTGATGATGTTGCACGATTGACGGTGATGGTCAGTGGACTAAAAAGAAGAAGTTTAAAAAAATTAGATAGATATTTATAATGTTGTTTTCTTTTTTCTTTACCTGGCACTTGTTACGGTGACAGTACCACTGCCACCACCGAGAAAACGGCGAACACGAAAGACGACCTGATATTGTTGTTGTTGTTGTTGTTGTTGTTGTTGTTGTTGTTGTTGTTGTTGTTGTTGCTGTTGTTGTTGTTGTTGTTGTTGACGACGAAGACGACGTTGAATTTGATTATAACGACCTAATTGAAAAATTGTTAAGAAATTTTAGCTGAAAACTAAAATACTTACGGGACATGTAAACAGGACGCATTTTTGTAAAGACGACCAGCACGAGAGATAAACGAAATAATAAATGATTAGATCTGCTGGCGATCATCTCTATTTATAGTACGCTATAGAAAAAAAAATAGAAATTAAACCGTTAATTATAGATTTATAGATTAATTCAATATTTCCAGGGAAAAACCGTTGTTTCAAACCTAGAAAAGAAAATAGAATTCCGTTAGTGACAGAACGAAAAAGAAAAATAGCGCGATGAGTGATAACCAATCCCAATAATTTAAAAATAGATGGCGCTGAGTTCCGGATTGTTTTAAAGTTCATAAAATATATGAAACACAAAGAAAGGGCCCATTATCTATAAGAAGAAATGGTTCGAATTGGTTCCACTAGATCTTCCGATGAAATTCTCTAGAAAAACAAATGGATATAGCTCACCCTACTGTTGTCGTCATATTTTGTTCATTATTTCTGGAGAGATTTCAAAATTGATTACAAGAAATAAACACACATGAAACAAAATAACCAGAGAACAAAAAGAAAAGAAGTACCACAGAAGACGGTCGTTTTTCTTCTAGATTTTCATCAACCGATAGAGAAATTATACCATGAGAAAACCGTTCGTATTAGGTCAAAACAATATTCGCATGTTTGAATATTACTCAGAGAATCAAACAGAATAAACAGGGTGCCACTTACATTACTAATCAAAAATAAAACACCCTAGGTGGCATCATTCTATAAGTAACTTGTACAATAGTAATCAAATTTTATTATTATTGTTATTCTTTGTTAACCCAATCAGCACCATATCTTGATCAAAGAGAAGAAAACAATAGAAACTTGCATCGACGCAAGTGCTCTCTCTCTCTCTAGAAACTTTTTCTCTATACTCAGCTACTATGTAGGAGTATAGTCTATAGAACTGATTTCATAGAAAAATAGTAGGTTCCCTATCACCTCAATGAACACAATACTTACGCAAATCAGATCTACGTGTATAATAAAGAATGGGTTCCTATTTATTATCCACAGTGAAATATTTCTTCGAATTCTAAAAAAAATAACTACTTAGAACTAGAGAAGCACAACAACAAGTTGTTTCTTATATGTGAAAATTTTGAGTGAGAAATTCAATTCCATTCATCATTTCGATTCAGTACATGCCAAGTTATATTTTGTATTAGTCAAGTCTGTTTTGTATTTTAAGAAATACAAGACTGATATTCACTTCGATACTGAACAACCCATAAGTCTTTGATTTTTGTTATTAGTGTGAGAGTAAAGATGAATCTTTGAAGATGTTTCACATTTTATTATTTACATCAAAGAAAAACAAAGTGGCACATTTTACAAAACGAAAAGAAGGAATACAAGGAAAACAACCAAAAAAATAAAGCCAGCAAAAAGACGAAACCACCAGAACATTAAATCAACCAGCATGGCCATCATCATTTCGATTGTTGCTAATCTATAATTGAAAAAGAAAATAATGAGAATGTGTTTATGTTTGATGTACCATTGACATACGTATTTGTTGGATGAGGAGGAGGGGGCGGAGTATTGTTGTGGAGAATGATAATGATAAAGATGTGATGTTGTATGATGATATGTTGTTGATGTTGTTGTGGTTGTTGTTGACGATTATGTTGATCACGATGACCTGCAATGAAATGAGTAGAAACTTATACAGCAGCATTCAGCAACTTACGACGAAGAGCACTTGAAGGCATTGAGTGCGAAGTGAAAGACTAGAACGATTTTTCTGAAATTAAAAGAAAAATACAACAAATCTGTATTTATAATTGGAAGATAAAGAAGTTCGTTACGTGACCATTTAGAAAAAGAAAATGTTCAACTTTAAATATGTGAAACTATTCATAGAAAGAAACAAGCGGGTATTTTGAAAGTAACCAATGTGAAGAAAGTGATTATAGATGCCGTTCATATCCAGATATCTTCGAATATATTTATGTAAACCGAATGCATTTAATTCAAATTTGTCGTTTTTTTGTTTTTAACAAATAAAAACCGCAATTATATCAGTACTCTTTCTAACACTTGATTAAGATATTATAAAAACAAAAAAAATAGAACCATGAATTCAGCTTTTTGTACCATGTAGATAGTAATAGTAGGGAAAAAAACTTATTGAAAACAATGCTCTAAGTTCGATTAAGTGAACGGTTAGATTCATATGCTTAAAATACACTAAGCGTACCTGCTGCTCTATGCACACTGATATATACTAAGAGAATTTCTAGAGAACTGAACTGATATGAAAAACTTTCAAAAATATAATTAAATTCAATATCCAGGGTCCATTATTGAGAGGTCATGAGACGAATTTCAAATAGACCAGACATAAGAATGTTAGTAACAGAACGGAAAAAGAAACGAACTAGATGGATTACGTTAGAGAGCGAATTAGTAAGACTAATCTGGAAAAGTCCAAAGGTCACCGGACAGTTAACCGAGAAGAAGAAAGTGAAAAAATAAAAAGGAAATATATATAATAATTGTGATTTTCTGTTCGTTTATTCATAAAAGTTCAAACGTCTTATTACAAATAGCATAGTAAGTAACTATCACAGATACATGCACAGTACTAAACAACCATCTATACGAACAGATCTTTCATTATCTATCATTGGAATTTTGGCTTGACTGAGTCAGAAAGAATATCAGTTTTCCATTTTTTTAATTTCAATTTGTTTGTGGTCTTATCTAATTTGACGTCCTGGAATTTTTGTTTTAGTAATGTCCAATAATAAGTTTCCTTCTATTCAATCATTTACATCAACATCACATGATAATGAATATAGTTATCATATAACTAATGATTTATCAATTAAAATTAATGATATTATACGTAGTAGTGACTATCGATTGTTTTTCGATGATCATTTATCATTTGAACAACTTATGTTTCTACTCAATCATCGATATTCAATAGAAATTTCTGTACTTGATTTTATTATCGATAAAATTTATCAATTAATTAAAGATGAAAATATTCGTGAAATTTTTTTAAATAATATTAATAAATTTGCTGGTCATTTACATCTTGTTAATAGTGATACAGATGTTAGTCTTCGTCCGACTTTCTTTCTTGGCGACAGTGATGATGCTGATTATTATTATGATGATGACGATGATGATGACCGAACAATTACCGATGATGACTCCATATTTGAAGATAGTTTTGATGATCTTGAAAATGATTTGCTTGATCGTTTTGATTTTGAACATTTTCTTGCTGTTTATCGTTATTCACCACCAAGTGATGATGAATACGACTTTTGAAATTCATTCCTTGTTGTTGTTGTTGTTTTTTCTTTTTTTTTTTCATTATGTTGTCACATAAATAAATAGTTATAGTCCATTTGAAGTCGAAAAAAAATGATATTATATAATTTTAATCATCTCATTACATGAGAAGGCTCATAAAACAATTGCTGAGATTTATCTTTGCACATGTTCTGACATGAATTGTTATCCATGTGGGCAATATTGCACAGATTATTACAGTGAATGAAGTGCACGGTTCATATTGGTTTCATGAATTTTCCGACTTTCATTCCTGAATTTTGTTTTCTACTGAAGTACAAAGAAGTTGCTTAGTTGTAATAATTTATTCTTGAACAAAATTTCTCATCAAAGCTTCTGTACGTCCTCATTTTCATCAGTGTCCTAAATATTTGCTTTTCGTTTGCTTAAGTACAACAGGCCAGCTTCATACTGTATTGAAAAGATATCAGTTGAACCCAATCTTACATAGATTTCGAAATGTGATGATGGGACAGTTCTTTAAAAGCTTTTATTTTTTATTTTTTTCATTTCCATCAATGGCAATACTACATTGTCTCTAAAGATATTTTATGCATCTCATAATTGTTCAAAAAGTATTCAACATTTGTTTTGTTTTTCTCTAAAACCTATTTTTCTTTCCACTGCAGTAGACATATATCAATCGTGTCAACGTCACTTCTCAGTGAAAGTAAACCCTTACATATCACCGAATGTCTCTTCGGCAGCTATCATAGAACATAATGAATCCATTATTAGTAAATTTCATTAAGATTCTTAGAGGAATTACGGATATTTTTGGAGCGTTCATATCAATCAATTCGTGACGATACTATTCCATTTTAAATCATAAAGTTTTTGCGATAATTGCACGCATTTGTATCCATATAAATCCCATTCAGTACATTAGACAAAACAAAAAGAAAAAATCTGCTAGATACATCATTTCCTTAAAATACTTGAGAATTTGCTATAGCTAGAAGTACAATGATATTGAAGGTATTTGTGAGATCACATTCGTTTGTGTGACTTTTTTTCGTGACCTTCTGCACATGAAGTAAAATCTTTGTATGGGCACAATACAAGAAATCGAATAGTTCAAAATACATATTATATTTAGAGAAAATGTTAAAATTATTTCTCATGATTATGCTCAACCGATTATTGATGTTGCCCCGTTATTTTTCGAACATAATATATACTTTCAAATGTTCACCTTATTTGAAATATCTACTTGTCTCATGTGATGCTAACTTAAGAGTTTTCAATACAGTTGTCTTTTGAAAATTAATAGTATTACAGTGAACTTTCAAACTAAGTATAAGTCATAAAAAGTGAAGTTCACTTTCTCTTTATTTTTCTTTTTAGTGTTCAGCCATTTCATTCAAACTCAAGCACATCTATTTTCCTAGTAATATGTGTTTGGAAATACTATTGCCAACTATCTTTCTTTTTGTTTTTATCCTCAATGTATATATATATTCTTTACAACTGCAAGTATTCATATAGTTGATTCGATTTCTCGTTTCTTGCAATGTCTGAAGAATTAGAAGACGAAATAACTTTAACTAAATTTTAATAGAAAAAAAAAACAGTCAATGAAAATCACAACTTCAAATGAACAGAGAAACAAAAAAAGACAAAAGAAGAAAAAAACACAAAAGAAAAAACAAAAATCACTTATTATTGTCAATTAAAAATTGACTATAGTCATGACACTCTGACGTGTCATGCTTCACCACCATACTACCACCACCACCACCATCAGCAAGTTGAAGCTGACCAGCCACACCACCAGGAACCGGCGAAATATTCACCGGAACTGGTGACACTACTTGTATCACCAGCGGGCTAAAAAACCAAAGATTTTTTTTTTCTGTCGTGTTATGTAAATATATCGTATTTCTTACCTTGCCGAGGTGATATAGAACGTCAATGAGACGCCTCTCACTGGCACAACAATTTTTTGTCGATGCATTTTTGGTTGTTGTTGCTGTTGTTCTTGTCGTTGGCGACAATGTCGTCGGCCTGTATTTGTAATGAAAGATACAAATATAATGAAAATAGACAATAACATACGTGTTTTTAAAGTACGATCCATTTATTTGACCAGCAGTCGAAATATAAACAAAGAAACAAATAAGAAGATTAATTGTATAACATTTCTATTTATACCATTTTCGAAATTCCCTGGAAAAATGTTCGTTAGTGACCGTTATGATATTATCTAGACGATACCAGGTCATAAAAGGTCAAAACAACATCCAGACCCTAGACAGTGACCGACAGAACGAAAAAGAAAAAAATCGCCACCCCTATTACCTATCATAAAATAATATAGATAGGTGGCGTTTTCGTATTCAAATAATAGACTCGTAAGAGGTGAAATTTATATACCTATTCTTAGTAATAAATACATATATATATAGTCAAGTATAGAATTTTGTCAAAACATCATGTTTATTTGTTTGTAGTACAAAACAAAGTTACACACAGAAGAAAACAACAAAAAAAAAAAAAGAAAAGAAAAGTCTATGAACCATGTTCAAAACGATTTGTTTTTCGCATGCCCATGTTGAACAAAATATTTCTAAGTGATGATGATGGTGGTGGTGGTGGAAGATTAAGTCCTGTTGAATTCATTGATATGTCTGTATCTGATGTTGAAAGTGTATGAAGTGGAGATGATGTTAACAAGGGTTGTGGTGTTGCAGTCGAGGATTCTCTTGCTGATGACAAGCCAAAAACAGACGGGTCCAACACTATTTTTGTGTCAATGGGTCTAAAACATGGGCACATGATAGAATATAAGTTACAATGTCTTATAGAATATTAAAGAAATCAGACTATTGACTGATATCCATTTTTATAGTCCAAGTCCCTTTAGAAATAGACCAAAAAATCAATACAAACCCATCGGATGTTATCGAAATTTGAATTTTTGATGTTGCCATATCCTTCGAAATTTCGATTAATTGTGGGAGTTTTCGGTGACGTCGGTGTCGATGTCGAGAAGAGCGTTGTTGGATAGAATTGTGATGACCTATAGGCAGATAGGTATATGGAAAAAAATAGACATATGTAAAATAAAATGGTTAATCGTTTTTCTTACTTGGCATATCGAGAAAAGAAGTGGTGATTTAAGATATGAACGAAAAGTGGATGTATGAGGGAGAGACAGACTATGTGAATGTAATCAAGAACAGTGTTTTGTCAGTAACTGATTACGATTGAATCAATGCAGCTGTATTTATACCAGAGAAATAATCTAGTTTACAGTTCGGTAGGACAGACTTAATATTTCTTTGTTTCTTTCGCTTCTTCATGCAGCATGAACATATCATTACGAGGAGAAAGAAAATAGTTGGGACATGTGCAAATCTATTAAATCGTTCAAGATGAAGCAATTCTAAAGTAGATATATATATATTCACTGATGCCTAGAACAGTCTGATATCATATATATGATGTTTTTTTGAACTTTAATTTAAAAATACATAAGCAAAGGTGACACATAAAATTCTTCGTGAATGCTCCTGATAATTGATGACATCATCTTTTTTTTCAGAAATAACTCTCCGATTGATTTCGTTTTTTTAATGAATTTGTTGAATGAAAAATAATATTTAGTATAGAGTGGAAGTTGAATCGGTAGAAGAATGTTGTCTTATTTTTTTTATTATTTACAATTGTCTTTGCAAAAATATCATATACAATGAACTTTTACATTATGTCTGGAATCTTCTAGAATATCCTTAGAAATCACTAATTTATTGACCTTTGACCGAAGACAGACATTTTCTCTGAGAGGATTAACGATTCTCCTTAGGGAGACATGCTTATCGAGGCTAGTTACTGAACGAAAATCAGAAAGGAAAAAAGACATTTTCGCGAAAGCGACATAGGAAGAAAATTAGATATTTCTTTTTCTCTAGATTCGTCCTCGAGTATAAATACTGAAGACTTTCCATTTTCATTTCATTTCATTCAAATCATATCTACTTAATAGATCATATCTATTGATATCTCTCCGTTCAACGTAGATTCACTTTTGCTTGTATTAACTATCTTTCATCCAAAACAAGTACATTCAACGTATCGATCATACTATATTTCCCTGCCTATCTATTTTTCTTTTGTCTTACATTCATTCGTACTTAATCATCACGTAATCATTCATGCTTGCAACATTTGATGATTTTTAAAAATTATTAAATATGTTTTTTTTTCTGCTATTTAAAGTAAAAGAAATCTTAATTCGTTTAATCATCTACACGATGTTTAGCAATACATGCGACTGTGAGGCATGCACTTATTTTTATGACACTCATAGTAACCCAATGGTGACCAACAATACATATGAACAAAGTACAATTTAAAAAGAAATATTTTAATAGAATTACAGATTCTAAGTAACATTGTATACCTTTTTATGTCTTTCTAAAGATGTAGCTGACGAAAAAAACTATTCTATGCCCGATGAATTCATGTCGTGTATCTTTCCACAAGATAACTATTATCAGAATAACAATACTTTCCATCTCGACCAACACCAATATTTACCGGTACGATTTAATATAGCGAGTGATGTTGTATATGACATTAAAATTTCGTGTTTTCACAAGAAATAAATATTTTTTCATTTGTTTTTTTTACATCGGAAAAGGTCAATGATTCTCATCATGAAACGAATATGCTTCAGAATAAGTTGTTGGATACAGACAATGTTGAACTTCCACCTGCAATCATGAATATTATCGAAGATTTTAACAACATACCAACACCACAATCGTTTTCAAATATTTTTCAAGATGCCTTTCCTGCATCCGATTTAACAGGTATTGTTACTCAAAATAAGGTACTTCCATATAAAACGATATATTTTTTTTTACGATTTACAGATATTACGACTAATACAACAACAGAAAATGACGGTAATTATGTGTAGATAATTCTTGCTGACAAGTTTTTTGTTAAATTTCTCTTAATGCTGATTGATCTTTTTGTGAAACATAGATATGACAATCAACTTTCTCAACCGGCCAGTGATGGATATGTCGTACACCACAGAGACATCGTATGGATCCCGATTAACAATGGTAATGATGCCATTCGAAATTACAACATTAATCAATTATTGTCCATATCCACCTACAAATATGACTGGACCCATTACTGAACATGATCGACCCTACTCGAAATATGGACATTTAAGTAGGACCGAAATTTTTCATTCTATTTCATTCGATTCAATGTACCTTACGAATATTGTAGGTGCGAACATGATGCTTCACAAATTTCGTTTTGATCTTGTTGGTCTTCGAACTTTGGAAAAGCGACTCGTTAATAAATGTCGTATGTCCAGACGAATGTATGCCATCATTTGTCATACTAATATTACTAGTAAGAAAGAATTCTTTGATTTTGTTTTTTGCTCAAAGTACTTGTGAAATGATTTTGAATGATGTCTCTTGTGTTTTCAATACAATAGAAGAGAATATCATTATGGAAATCTGTCGCCAATTTCCTTTACCAATTCTACAATATATATGTATCTCAATCGACAGTGCTCAAACAACTACGACAACACCAACAACACCATATATGATTTCTCCTGTTTATATACAAATCATATTGAAAAAGATTGTAAACAAGAAGACATGGTTTCTCGACAAAGTGACTGGTAAGAAGATTCACATACATTACTAAGATATTTATTAGATAATATGAATATCCATAGGGGACCAATGTAACTACGATGTCACTCACAATGATTTGGCATGGAATGAGTATATTAAAAAAGGTAATCCTCATTTCAATGGTAACATTATCATTACGTATAAGGAATTCTATTTTTAGATCATGTTTTCATTGAAATCGGTGATTTTCAATCTAACAAAGTCCGAACACGGCCCGGTGATTGGTCTTCCAGTGAATATATTCGTGCCCAAAAGAAAAACAGACAATTATAAAACAAATAAATAGTAACCAGTAGAACTGTTGTGTGAACTATTTTTGTATTTCTACTTTGTTTTTTCTTTTGTATTTCTTTTTTTGTTTTTGTATTGGACGTAGTCCTGCTCCAATGTTGCTGTTATGCTTTGAATAAATATGTTATCCTAGTTGTAGGAGGTCATGAATATAAATTTTACATTTGAAATATCTGGATAGTATTTGTTTGCCATTATGATGTTTTTCCTTTTTATTGTCTACTGGATCATCTATTTCTATATATATTATGCATACATTTCATTCACTCACAACACCAGCAAACATTAGTGCTCACAGTTTTGCAATGATAGACAATCTATTACATAAATTATGCAATAGAAATTATTGAACACTCGTGTCATGTTGTTTATGTTTGTCTTTTCAGTAACTGCGTATACTGAGTGTTAAAAGTTAAAACCATTTTCGATGTGAACTCATAAGCTCAAGACATGCCGTGCTTATTTTATTAAAAACAATATATGTGTTGCATTTATTTTCTTTTATTGGATGTGGAAGAAGCTACAAAATACTGAGAGTGACAAAAAAATGAGAACCCATATATACAAGAGATGCCCTCTGCTTATGTTTATTTTGTGAGATGCAAGATTCTCAATAAAACAAATTTATATACCCGAAGTGTATCATGTTTGGCAACTTTTATTAACCATTTCAAAAGTCTTTGAAAGTGTTGGTAGATTTTTTTCAATATTCGTCAAGATTCTTTATTTTTATTAACATTATTGTTACACAAAAATTTAATTGTTCGGATGATACAGAAGTAGACAGTTTCTGCAGATAGAATTGCACTTTTTAAAAAAATACAATTTTTCACATATTCATATTTTGAATTTATTACACAAATTTATTCCGTAACACGTAAAAAACCAACAAATGTGATAGTCACAGGAACAAAATGTACAAACAAAATAATCTTCATAAATATGTATATCTATTGAATTAACACTCATTGCTGATAAAATTAATAAAAAGAAAATAATTTCCAAGAGATTTCATGATATGATTCATAAAAAATCCAAGCTCATCATCAATCGTATCTTATAATTCATATTTTACATTTCCATTGAAAGCAATATTTCAACATCAATTGTACTATGCTTTTGTTTAGATAAATAGTTTTTAAAAAATCTTCTTTATAATTTTTTTTTAGTGTATGTTATTATATGTGACGTGGTCTGTCCCTATATACAGTGATACATATACGATGCCGTGGTCTGTCCCTATATACAGTGATATATATACTATGCCGTGTTCTGTCCTTATGTACAGTGACATATATACTAGGCCGTGGTCTGTCCCTATATACAGTGATATATATACGATGCCGTTCTATGTCCCTATGTAGAGTGATCTATATAAGATGCCGTGACCTGTCTTTTTTGTTCTTCTCTCCCTCTCATTATGGCATGGCCTGTCCTAGGAAATCCCACAGCATATAGCCATTTAGTATATAAAGGCGAATTCTCCATGTATTATATTCATTTCGTCGATTATGAAATAAAGAAACAGTGTCTCACTTCTTACATTATTCTCTATTTACTACATCTACAATTACAAACAATCATCCAAATTACACTATACAAATCAGGTCTGTTACAGTTTTAGTTATTATATCTCCACGAGCTTTCTCTTGTTTGTGTCTCTTTTAACCTATTTCTATATTGTTGGCCACTCAATTTTCTTTTCTTTATATTCTGAAGATTGAATGGAACACTTATTTGTAATGTGTCTAAAAAAAGAGTCATCATAGATTCTCCTGAAAATTCATTGGAATGTCGAATATGCGACGGATTTTTTTTCTTTCTAGGTTTTCAACTGCTCATTTTTACATTGCGAACTACTTCATCATTGTTTTTTCAACTATGGAAAGAAAATATATGCCTGTCAATGACATGACTGAAAATAAATTGATTCGACCGTCTACCTTAATTACGGTAACGTCCTTTTTTTTTGTCTTCTGAAAATTCAACACTTTCATAATGGTGAAAGTGTCTCGCTTTTTTTTTGTGTTTTCTAAAATTGAATATGTCGTATAGTCAACAACATGCACCGACAATGATGTGATTGAGGCGATGGAAATTATTGATTTATGTACACCAACTATGGTCATCGACGATTTACCAATCATACCAGATCCAATCTCCCATGGAACAACATCTGTTGAAATGAAACAACGGTTTTTAAATCTAGATCGGCGATTATGTATTTTGCCATGCTATCCAACTTATAATGCCAACCGAGATCAAGGTCAACCATTACTCGCAAATATTCCACGTATGTACATGTTTTTAAAACAAAATGTTGCTTATGAATTAGGATCATTCTAGAACATCATTTGACTTCAACGGAATTATCATATCGACGTTCTGGTGGTTTTAAACCAGCCTGTACTCTTCTCAATAGTCAATCTAATATGCCATCATTTTTAAGAGAAAAATTCAATATGTACTTTGGTGATTTACTCGAACGGTTAAAAGTGGATTTATCTATTTTGGATTATAATTATACACGTCTAAATAAATTTATCAGAATGTTAGCTTATGAACAGATACGTGTTTTTAATTTCCAACCCAATGCCATACCTCAACTTGAAGAAAAAGAATATCCAGTGGCATTGGAATTTTTTTTACAATTTGACGGTAATACTATTTTTTTCTGATTTTTTTCTACGTACATTTTATGCTTTGTTTTTTAGTGAACATGTTCTATATGAAAACATGTTCATTTCGTTTTGCTCGACCACGTACAGGCAATGAAGGTCTCTTTTGTTTACAAGAACCCGAAGCTCGATATGAATTAGCTGCATGTGGCAACTGTGCACTCTGTTATCCTCAATATGATATGACCTACCGATCCAACAAATCTATTGTTAAATTTAGTCAAGCACATCAACATACTTTTCTTAATGGATATAAAGCCATTTTAAATTGTTCAGCGGTATGATTCGTATTTTATCAATAAAATTAACGTACATATTTTTTTTTTGCTTTTTAGTCATGTCATACATCCAATATTATCTATGCCTTAACGTGTCCATGTGGTAAATTTGAATATATTGGTACAACAGCAAATACGTTACATGATCGTCTCATAAGTAGGTGTATCCCTCTATTTATTTCATATCTATTTTTTTTTGTTAGAACATCGGGAACATGGCAATCGAATTATGCATGAATTTCTCATTGGACAAGAAAATATTCTACGTGAGCTACCACGAGGAAAACCAAAAGAGTCTGACACCTATTACCCTATGTTCATTTCATTTGCTAGACTTTTTTTTTTTCTAATCTGTTTTAGAGTTTTAGTCAAAGATCGTATGAAACTTTATCAACATTCGGCAAGATGTCCAGTTGCGATGCAAATCTTTTTGGATGCTAATCCACAATATTGGCGATTTGTACCAATGACATTAGAAGAATCACAAAGATCTGAACAGCAAATAGTACAAAGTCTTCTCATATCGGATGAACTCAGTCATCATTTACGAACAAGACGCGATTGTGAAATTTGTGTAGAAGCTGTACCAAAACCATCGAAAGGATATACATTCTCAAATCGTCAAATCATGTTACAAACTCAATATTTTCATAAGTTGCAAGATAAAACTTTGCCAAATCAAACTATTGATTTATACAATGCTACTATTGTTGCTGTTCGTAAGTGTACACCCTTGAAAGAATTGACACAAATAACATATGTATGGAACTTTGATATTATTTTTCTTTTTCTTTGTCTTTGTTCTAGTACCAGAAACTAGTTCAGATATGTTTCGTTATACAATTGAATCATTATTCATTACATATGCTGAAACCAATCTCAATACCGTTGGTAATGTGTTGAATGAAAATCCGAATGGCGAACAATATCCAATGAATGATCCTTGGTTTGTTCGAAGTAGTAATTGGTGTCAAGGATTATTACGTCGACCTCAACCCAAAAGTACACAATCGAACGCCCTTATTCAAAAGAAATGATTCAATATGAATTGACATTCGTTTTTCACTCTGCAATAGACTGATATGTACATAAATGAAGACTTTGATTTACTATTTTGAAATTGAAGATTAGATTATTGTTTTGTTTTTTTGAAGGGCTACATTTCTGAACATTCTAGATATTTCATTTCATTCATGACTGATATTCCTTCCTCACAGGATACTCGTATGGATCAAGATGATCATAAAATACAACAGCAATTGGTGAGATACATTTTGATTGAAATGAATTCATACATCTCTTTTTTTTTCCTTTTAAGAAATGCCAAGCACTGTTCGATTATTCATTGTCACTACCCATGACTGAACAGAAACCGACATGGACTTCCAAACGACTTGCTAAATTACAAGAGAGACGACCCATCAAAGATCCCATCTTTATATTTCTTCAAACTTCGCCTACGATTCACTATCCAAATCTTCAACACATAGCGAATTTCAAACCTAAGTGAACATGTCACCCGGACGAGTCTAGTAGTATACATGTATATTTTTTGCTTTGTTTTCTAAACATAGTCTACATCAACTGTAATTATTTTGAAAAAACAAAAAGATTTTATGTTTATTATTTAGTCACAGCTTCGAATGTTAAAAAACTTAGGAAACATTGAGTGAAAAAATTACTTTGTTTATTTTTTTGCTTTTGGAAAACATGTGTTTCTTTGTCTCTTTTAGATCACTCTAGATATTTACAAAAAAATGTCGTCATCACATAATCGATCTTCAAGTACACGTCCCTCTCGACCTACACAAACAGTGGCACCATTAGACACCCAACGATCAGCAAGTGCCCCCAATCGTCAATTTATTATTATTCTCACCAATAATCCCGAACTGTTACGACAAACTCGTCGATTTCAACCTCAAGTATGTAACATAAGATTGATTCATATGACTTTTTTTTTATAAGTACCTGTAGTGATAGAATCAATATATATTTAACCATTTTGTTACTCTTCTTTGTTTTTAGATACCACTCGATACACAAAGAAACACCAATGTTGCATCGAATGCTCGATCAAATAATGGAGCAACAAATACCAACAGCAATCACAATAATCGTGAACAAATACTCGATAATTTATTTCGAGTAGAATTAAGAGACGCTGCCAGTAATTATCTTACACGAACTCGGCGATCATTTCCACTGCATTATGTGTTCGATATGTCTGATATTGATACAGATCAGCATTGATATTCACCATAGGAAACTTCATTCCAATTTATATTTTGTTTTTCTTTGTATTTCTTTTTCCATGTTTCACTCTAATGACAACATAGATGAAAACATGACCTAAAAATATATATATTTTTTTGAAATTATTTGTTCTAGATTTGTAAGAATTCATCATGGCTTCGTCCTGGAATAGAGGCGACATTCATATGCAATCAACAACTGTTTCAGAAAATCAATACTTTATTATTACTATCACAAATTATCCAAATCTTTTGCAACGCACTCAATCCTATCAACAGCCGCCGAATAATGTAATAGAATATATTGTTTTATTGAAATCCTATTATGTTGTATTGTAGGAATGGCAACAACGATTTCGAGGTGGCATGTTAGCACCCAATGTTCCGATTCACTTTGGCGTTGCTCACACTGAAGAGCATGAAACATTATTATACAATACACTACAATTTGAATTAGAAGAATGTATTCGAGCCTACCTTCAACGAACTCAACGATTATATCCTATTAACTTGGTTTTTCACTTGTCCAATATCCAACAGCAGCGTTAATACATCTGAAACATTTCTATGTTCGATAGGTTTTGTTTTTTCTTCTATCTCTTGTTACTGTTTTTGTATGGAATTCAAAAAACTTGAAGAATTTCCTTTCCTAGTACTCCTAGATTAATCATTTGATTTTGTATTACCTATTTTTCTAGATTATTTTCTTTTACTACCAAATTATCTAACATCAATGGACTTGGACTCAAAAGATTTGAATGCAATTCTAATGAATTTAATTACCAAAAATCCCACACAACATGACGAGGACACGAATGCAAGCAATGCCAATGATGTATGCAAAGTAGAACCAATGGAGGTATCCAATGTTACGACCGATGAAAAACCTACGAAAACTTCACCCACAACCCATATAGCTCACCTTCAACGTCAACAATATTGTTTTATTATTTTCAATAATCCAAAATGGTCTCAAATAGTGAAAAATAAATCATCCAATGTATCAAAACAAGTAACCCTGTTGTCTTTGAATATTTTGTGCAACCCTGGAGTTTCTTATCGTCTCTCTTTCTCTTAGAATGACCAACCACAACAAAGATTTCAGTCCACATTCGATTGGCCTACGCAATTATTAGTGAAAAATGAAGCCCATGATACAGCATTGGATGAACAATTCATTGCCAAATTACGACAACTCATTTATGAATATATGCAACATACAACACGACCATTACCACTTAAATATTTCCTTGATCTTACTGAAGAATAAACCTTTGAGTGTTTTCAATACACTTTTAGATTCGAACTATTTCCCATGTTTTTTTTTGTTTTTGAAATCAGTTGAGTAGATAGTTGCTTAGAGAAATAACTTTGTAGCATTAGATTATATTCTTGTGAAAAACAAATTGTAGGTTTTCTTCTCTATTTCAGATTAAACTTATTATTTCTTTTTATTGCCATTATCTCACCATGGCTACTACAAATCCACCGTCAACAAAAACCATTAAACAATGTTCAACTGAAAGGAAACGGCTTAACCAAAGGTTTGATACGATCGATGATACCAATGATGGTTTACAATTTTCATCAGAAACATTAAATCAATATTTTCTATCCGGTCAAATCCCATCATTGATATATCCAGAAGAAAAGATCGAATATGATATCCTTCAGGATCCTTATCCTATTGAAGTAAGAGACTATTTTTCAGTATATATCCCAAGCGATTCATATTTTCTTTTTGTCTATTTTTTCGATTATGCATGAAAAGGAAAAGGAACTTGATGAAGAAACCTTTTTATCACAAAAATTAAGTCAATTATCAACAATACATAAAGAGCCAATGGACACATCCACAATATTGGAGAAAAAACGACGTTATAGTACTACGACTAGTCCCTGTGTTACTTCGAAGAAAATGAAAAAATCGGATCATGATACGGACGATAATAATGATGATGATCAGGATGATGATATGAATGATAATGATACCAAACAAGATCAAATTCCAAACTATTTATCAATGCAACATAAGCCATTTGTTTCTATGGCTCAAGATATTATTAAAAATGTTCATTCGATTACTATCCAAGATATACAACAATTGGCTTTTTACATACACCAAATAGAAGCTCTTCGTATTAAGAAACAGATCACCACTCTCTATTTACAATCAGTCACAGGCACATTAACACAACCCGAATGTGACTTAATCGAAGTTGATCGACAAGTATGGCCAATGCAAGTCAAATCATTAGTATTGGATAAATATCCCGTGTCAACGGCAGCGACTATAGCAGCACCAGCAACAACAACAACAATGGGCACCAATCAACCTGATCGACAAAGTTTTTGTGAAAAACTCCTTAATGACCGTATCCAAGAGCGAACTGAAGAAATTCAATCGATTGAAGAAAAAATGATCACCAAAAAAAATACTTTAACTGAATTAACATTACATATGAATGAAGTTATAAAAATGTTTGTCCAAGAATATGGAATTAAACCACTTCAATTCAAATATGAATTTAAGAAGACTCTAACTACCTATGATTTTCAATTGGAAATACTTGAACGAAAATATAGACGAGAGTTATCAAATGAATATCAAGTAAGAATCGTCTTGCATGAAAACAATCCAAAATCAATGTGCTTATTCTTTTTTTGTTTATTATCATTTAGTTGGAAATAGCCACACGTCTGTCCAATATGAAACGCGATTTCGAAAAATCAAAACGCGTATTATTAGAATTGAAACAAGGTGTCTTCTTCAATAAATCATTTATCTTTGCCGATTCAATTCAAACATTGCCGTCAACTTCGAATGATACGACCTTGAAGCATGAAAATAGACCACGACCATTATTCAATCAATATGAAATTCAACTTCGATGCAAGAAACTTGATTCATTAGCAATACGTTTACCACTGGCCGAACAAACATATTATCGTTTTCAAGAAAAATTCGATCATGAATTATCTGCCATGTGGAAAAGTCATCGTAATCTAGTTCAAAATCAAGGAATGACAACATCACTAATCAACTTACTCGAGCAACGTCTGAATACTATTACTGATCGATGGAGAGATATTTATAATTATAGAGTCGATTATTTTCTTCAAAATGCCTATGATGAATTGGATCCTATGCATAACAATGAAACTTTGGAATATGTCAAAATTATGGCACCTTCAGCTTCAATCTTGATTAATGCAACACATACATTCAATGATCAACAATTACAATTATTAAGTCGTGGCCCAAGTTACGTACCACCCTGTTTAATGTATACTTCATTATCCAATGAATCTATGGATGACATTGTCAAGAAACAATATGCACCATTAAAACATCAAATAAATAATTTACTTTTTTATAATACAAAATTAATTTAAATTTACAAATGGAAATTCAAAAGAAAGTCTATGATCTATTTAAAAATTTATTTACCAAATCAATCCCATCCAATCTCTATCAACGTGCAATGTATGAGAAGAATTTAATTCAATCAATTCAAACTTCTCTCAAGAAAAATAATCTTATTTTACGAAGAACTGCTGATAATATGAATATATTCTATTTAGGAAATCTTCAAGATTTCGAAAGCAAAGCCGATAAATATTTAACAACATCCGAAGATTATGATATTCTCTTTAATATGAATGATGTCAATAATGAAAAACCATTCAATGTGGCATTCAAAGAAATGATTGAATCAATGAATAGTTTATTAGAAAAATTAAAAACACATAAGGCCATCAGTTCAGATTTATATGAACGATTCATTGCTGATCCAAATAAAGTCAAATTACCTTATTTATATTTTCTACCCAATCTATCCAATGTAAATAAACATTCATTCTATTTTGTTTTTCAACTTAAATATGTACTTTCTTTGTTATTCACCTAGGAAAAAGGGATGTCATTAGTACCGATGGTGACATCAGAATATAGTGCCACATGGAAAATTGCCAAATACTTGAATCAATTATTACGACCCTTTGCCGATGGAGTTTTACGTTCGACCACATTTGTTAATGAAACTGATTTTATTCGACAATTAAATCGTTATGCTACTACAGAACGTCGTCTTCGGCCAACAACTCTATTTTGTTCCATCAAAATAACAAACTTTTATACATTAGATGAACACCGAAATATGATCGATACGATTGGCTATTTTTTACAAGACCATTTAGTAACAAACAAACTTGGATTACTCACTGTTCAAACTATTCGAAATCTACTCCATTTATTTCTTTATAATAATATTTTTTCTTACAAGGAAGATATCTTTAAATTTACAAAAGGTGCTCCAAATACAGTAGCATTAACCGAAACATTATCCAATATTTATTTATTCGTATGGCAAAAGAAATTATTGAAAGAAGTGAATCAAAGTATCGAATTGTTCGGAAGGTATGTATATACATATTGCTTCGAATCTCAATTTGTTTGGATTGAATTCAATATTCTAGATATAAAGATCAACTATTCTTTACATGGAATAAATCA